GAGCCATCCGCCGTCCCGGCCGTCCGCCCGATTTGAATACGCAGTGCGTTGTAACTTCCCTTCACCTCTTGCAGGGTCACCGAATCCTGAGTCCACTTATTTTGCACCGCAATTGTGACAGGGTTCGACTAAATTCGACAAAGCGTTAGTGCGTCAGACGATGGAGTCGGTACAAAGGAAAGGGGTGAGAAAGGGGCAGCCTCGCAAGGCTGCTCGAGCGTTGTTGCCTTGGTAACCTGCGCCTGCTCGCGTACGTCACGTGGTAGCGGGAGAAAAGACGATGGGCGGGGCGTACCGACGAAGACTCCCATAATTCGTCGCGTGGCGCTCGCAGGCTTTCGGGATATTTGCTAAGGGTCTGTAGACCCCTTTCGAAATTCGCGTGCCGATTATTAGAAGGTCGGAACGACTGCACAATGGCGGAGCGACTGACAACGTGGGACGCGCAAGTCATTCCATAAGATAGCGAACGTCGGAGCGCGGCTAACGCTAGCAGCCGACGAGCCAATGAGACAGCGTCGAAAGTGCAACGTCACTGCGCTAATCACCTTTTCCGTGGGTGTGTTTTTTCCTCTACTCCAACCAAACGCATAAAGTGTGCCGCGACGTTGCGGTTTCAGACCGCCATTGTGCGGGGACTCCGCAACTGCCAACAAAGGGCAGTATTTCGAAAGGAGCCGATAGGGCCCGAGCCGGACGCCGAGCGTCTTTCGGCGCGTTGATTGAACACGAGGCCGAACCGAACGCCGACGGAGCGCTCGTGTCCAATCTGTGCCTGCGCTCTACCTCGCTATAGCCAACCGGCAACGGCCAGGCGGTGCCAGCAGCGCGAGAGCGCACGGTTATGCCCTCTTTCGTTGTAACTTGGCAAAGGGTAAACGATAAGCCCCACATTGCGTGCCGAAGGCTTCGAAATGCACGACGTATACGAGCGCAACGTACACATATTAGAGCATGACGCAGCGAAAAGCCTGATACTTCTTCGGAGTAGAGGCACGCTCCGGTGATAGGCAGTCACGTTCCTATTGGCCCGCCAGAGCCGTAGCCTCCGCTCTACTGGCACGTTACGCGATCACGGCTTCCTGGGATACCCAGTATTTCTTGCTTCAGACACTAGACTAAGCGGCGCCACCAGAGTAAAAGCTCACGTTTGAACATTGCAGCCGCCACTCCCGGGGGTACCCAATATTTCTTGTTTCAGTCACTAGATGGCGCCAAACCAAACAGCATTGCAGGTTACCTATGATGACGTCAAAATTCTAGTGCTCGGGCTTTGATTGGGTGGTTTTGGCCGGGTCCGGCGACTGAGCACCGGAGGAGTCACCTGATATATCAATTCTTCCCATCGGAGGCCAATGTCCCTATTTGGAAACCTCGGGAGTACATTATTGTTGTTCTCTTCGTCGTGTTCGGGCAGCTCGTGTCCCCCGATCCTAGGTCACCCGACCCGTGCCCATAACTGCAGTCTCGCGTTATCTCCACGGTGTGAGAAGCAAATTCATACTCCGTTGCACTCTATGTCCGACCTCCAAGAGTGCATCGTCACGACACTCGTCGTCTTTGTGCGTTCGCTACCCCCGGCTAACCCAATCACGCGCAGTAAATGAATGCTCCATAAATATGCGCATTTTTTTTTCTTCTGTGCCATTGGCTTGTATTGTTGGCTAGGTCGGACAGTATGAGACAGAGTATTGACGATACTACATCCCGCGCGAGAGAAACGGGGCCAGTTAATGTTCCGAGCTGTAGTTCCGAGAACAAGTATCATTGCCTCGCATCCAGAGATGTGGAATTTGAGGAACTACAAAGGTCCAATTACGAAGCAGGAAGCGTGAACGCATTCTTACAAGAAAACTGGCTCGAGAAAGAACACACAGCTGTCCTCATAATTGATTAAGAGATTCATACGAGAATCTAAGATCGCCAGCAATGGGCGAACGCGGCAAGAGCACTATATATTACACGGCGGGACCAAGTAGGACAGGGAGTCCGGGACATCGCCGCCGTCTGTGATTGGTCAGCGGCGCGGCGCTGACCTATCCGCTGACCAATCGCAGACGGTGGCGATGTCCCGGACTCCCTGTCCCGCGTGGTCCCGCTGTGCAGCATACGACCCCTGGTTTATCGAACCGATCGAGCCCCCGGTTCGGCGCGCCTGGCACGTTAGTTAACCGCGGATAGATGGTGACAAAACGAGGGGGCTTGTTTTCGCCGAACTTTGTCTGGACGCTTCGTCCAATGGAGTGTCATCGCGGAAATGTTTCTTGGACCGTGGGTATTGCCGAGTTGCCGTGGAGCATCTCTGAAACCTCCCGATGCGTTTGGATGCGCAGCGCAGACTTTCGAAGAGAAGGGACATGTTTGTTGTGTGCGCAGTTACGACGTGTTATCGTCTTTACCGCAACCGTATCGATTGTGCAAACTTGGGAGACCTCTATAGTGTTTTCAGACGTCTTCTCCCGAGGCAACTATCTTTCTACTTGTGGGTTTCGTTTATCAGGAACACTTTACGAAAACAAAGCTAACTGCCGTCGAAAGCTGCTACTAAGCGACAGTGCTCTTTTTGTTGGTGTTTTTTTTTTTTTTTTGTATAACCGTTGGTGGTCCTTCTGAAGCTCCGTGCGCATGACTGTACGTCATCGATCATAGGTCGCTCTTTTTCCTCAGCATGAGCTTTTAATGCATATTTGCATTCTTGCTGAAGCCAGCTCTGATCATTTTGATAGACCCGGAGAGCAGATGAGTTTGTCGTGTGTGCAACCCATTCGAAACGACCCAAACCAACCATGCATTTCGTTATACCGAAAAATCCGGTATAACTTTCCCTATCCGGAATATGGAACCGGAAATTTGTTACTGGAAACCCGAAATCCAGATTGCAGACAAAGGAATAATTTCTGAAAACCTAAATTCCAGATAGAGTCCAGATAGAATCCAGATAGATTTCCGGTTCCATAATCCGGATAGCGAAAAGTTTTACCGGATTTTTCGGTAGGGAGCACTCACTACACATTATGTGCTCCCCGGGGTTATAAAAGTGATCAAGACTAATTTAAACTTTTTCCGTAAAATGTGCTTCCTTTCGCGTGTTGGTTGTTCTCCCCTGTAAATTAAAAAGGTGCTCATTACCAAGAAACGTTTGGTAGTGTTGCCAACTCAGAAACGAAAAAAAAAAAGAAGAAAAAGACACTAAAGGAATTTTGGAAACCTGTTAAATAAAAGCTGAAATTTAAGGCGCCGGGTAAAAGTGACCCATTGTACACTATTTACTGCTACAGTTTTATCTAAAAATAGCAAAATAAACGAAAGCACCGTTAAAAGCGGAGTCATTCTTTCTTGACTCGGAGTGCTTCTATGCACAGAACGATATCCACTTACTGCTACCAGGTGTTTGCAGGTGGGGTTGTCTAGCCATACCTGCCGACGTATATTTTCATAATTTCGATCTTTCGTGCAGTCTTGGTGGCAATTTAAATATTCAGTGACCAAATTCTCATGCTTTGCAACAGGTATATTCTGGGGTTGAGGTATCTGACTCGTTTGATTTCGCTTGGAACTTCTGGTAACCAGCTTCAAGGTTTAAAATCAGCCCCCATTTTGTTGTGAATTGTTCTGCATAGTTCACTGGGCCCATGCCATCTGGCAGACTTGGAAAACGAATTCATACTGTGATGCACAACTGATTTTAAAACAAGCTTCAATGTTTGCCACCGTAATTTCTCAAATGCATCGCAAGCGCTATTCTCATTGAAAACAATTTTGTTGAGAGCAATTCAAATTAACAACCCCACTACTCTAACTTACACAGAAATTAAGCTATTGGCGATTGGTGAATGTAAAAAAAAAAAAAAAAAAAAACAATTTATATCGCGAAAAAAAACAACACCAAAAAACTAACTCGCGAAAAAAAACAACACCAAAAAACTAACTAACATGATTTGAAAACTTTAAAATCTTGCCTTGCCCCCCCCCCCCCCCCCCCCCAACGCAAAACAGCATTTTCTCCCACTAGACAACTCAGAACACCGTTAAATTGACAATACTTCCTTTTGGGTCGGGTGTCTGTGTTATGCTCATTTCTAACTTTTGACGGGTTGCCATGCAGTGTATGCGAAGCTTTCTTGTGTAGAGGTGACGCTGTATCACGTGACTGGTTTCGTCTTTTGAAGAGGTGACGCTGTATCACGTGACTGGTTTCGTCTTTTGAAGAGGTGACGCTGTATCACGTGACTGGTTTCGTCTTTTGATGAGCACGGTTGACTCGTTGAGTTCGCGAGTTTAGTTATCGATGTTTGTGTACTCTTTCAATTTTTGATAGGGTTGTGCGAATAGCGCTTCTAATCGAATAGCAAAGTGCCAGCGCTTCAACACAGTACCGGTGTGTTGTGGCTTTCCTTTGCACTGTGAAAGATATGAATGACGCAGCGGTATTCGATTCGAGCCACTATTCGCACAATTTTTAGTTGATGTACGTAGCATGCTTTTGGGTTGTGACATAGCCTCCGCATCGTTTCGTTTGAAAACAAACGAAAAAAAGCTTATTTGTAAGTCCTGTTTAGTGACGAATGTTCCATGCTTTCGAACAGTGATCAATTGCAGGTGTAAGAAAACGTAAGTCTACGCTAAATTGTTCCTATAACGTAACTTGTCAGCGTGAATTTGGATTGGCTAGGAGGCTATGGTAGTGATCGCCAGGGAAAATCTCGCGCATGCACGAATAGACCATTTGGTATATTACCTAAGCGTCAAGGAGAATCCAGGGATTGGTGTTCCACACGCGCACGCCTTCCCCGTATAAAATATTGGAAGTAAATAACCAAAATAAAGCGCTGACGAACGCGCGTGCAAGATGCCATTTGTTTTAGGTATTTGCTTTAGAAACATTACTACTGCTGAGGCCATCACCTGTGGCGCGTGGAACACCAATCCCCGCATTCTCCTTGATGCTTGGGTAATATAGCAATAGGTCTATTCAAGCTTCAGACGGCTCTTCATTGTAGATTCCATCTATGACTTGCGGCACCATCTGTGCGACGCAGCGCCACCTCGACTGCTCATCTGCCCCGATGGCCGTATCCTGTTCGCCGAAACAGGTGGTTGTTTCAACTTTTTTTTTTATTACCGAGTTACACATTTTGATTAGGAGTTTTTCACCCACACTACACTAAAAAAAAATGGTTGTAAAATAATTTTTGGTGGTTCTTCGGCTTGTTCACATTTTGCACCCTAAAACACCCTAGAAGGGTTCTTCGTGAAAAATTTATGAGGCATTCTTTTAAGCTCCCTTTTTCATGCTTAAGAGTTCTTCATCGCCCAGTTTCCTTTGTAGTGCGCCAGGGGGCGACAGTGCTTGCGGCGAAACCGTTCTTCACTTTACTGGGTCGTCAAAAAAAACCTTTCATGTACGTTTTTCTTTTTTTTTTTAATAGAGAGTAGAGCGAAAGCAGCGTGCTTCGAATTGGGTTGAGGGTTTCTGCGGTATATTTAAATATGTTAATTTCCGTACGATCGCCCTGCGCTCGAGTTGAGGACGCGCCATCGCAGCCAATGAAATATATGTCCTTGTTTCGGCGCAGCTGCGGCAACCATATCACGTGACGGAGCGTCAACGGAAAACGCAGCTTGTGGTACGTAGTACATTTTAAAGAAACGATTTCGCTATAACTTTATATGGGAAACATGCGTTGCGTGTTTCTTCTTTTTTTTTTTCGGTTTTTACGGTTTTGTTTTGTCTGAAGGTTCTGTGATGGGCTTCGTAGTGCACCGATGTCGTCTGCAAGGTCACTGTACGCATGCAGTGCGCGCCACTGTTAAATGAAACGCGCGAAGTGGAGGGCCAATAAGTTAGCTCAAATGACTGTCACTGACTGACAAGGTGAGGACGGTATATAGGGCGTGTTTTTCGAGCGCCCTGCCTCCGGGCGCGCTCTGGGTGCAGGAGACGTCGAAGCGTTGGCGATGGTAGGAAGTTTGCGACGGAGGTGAGACAACAAACTTCACCCTGCCGTTCTCGCCTTTTCAGTGGATATAAGTTAATATAATACGAGCGGATCATGTATAGTTATTCTAGGCCAAGGCTGCGGCGGGAGCCGCCCAAAGGTTAGTTCGGTTTTAAAGTACGGGGAATATAGGAGTTCGGATAGAAGAGCGCGGCGTCGTTCGTATAGCCTTCCCAGTGCCGGGTGAACTCTCGCCACATACATACCGGTTCTCCTTGCAGCGTTGAAGCCAGGGGTGACACTCGGCTGCTAAGTTGGAAGCAGCATTCTTCGCAGTGCACCGAATCTTCGGCCGCTGAACCCGAGTTTCAGTTGACAATTCCGCTCGCTGTAAATGTGGCGCGGCCCCGTCCGACTGAGTTTGGGGCCTAACGTTTTGCATGAGGACTATCCAAATTGGCGTGTATTGCGCAGTTTATTTATTTTTTCTTTTCCAATTTGTATAAACAAAGGCTACAAATGAAGGAGAACGAATAAAGTAAACATAAATTTGGTGAGATGCACGTGGGATTGAGGCCTGACGGACGTACGAGTAATGCTGAACATTTATAACGAGATTGGCGTTTTACGGATGTCAGCAGGTGGCATTGTTCGCTACACGACCCGTGGAGACGCGCACGTGTTACTTCTATATAAAAAGTGTTTTTTTTTTTTTAGAAATTTATAGGGTTTTTTGGTGATCCGTTATTGTGTTCACTTGTTGCTTTCGTTCACCTACATTCGATTGTTAAGTACTATGATAGGCGTGGATTAACAGCCTGGTCGGGTTATGTCAAGTCTGGGAAGCCAGTTTTGCGTTGATTGGAAAAGTTTTTTTGGTTAGCTTGATTGCGTTGATTGGGGAAGATTTTTGATTGGTTCATCGTCATCATCATCAGTTAAAGTTTTGGTTAGCCATTTTATTCAGCTCTTCAATTCGGTCGCGCATCAGTGGAAGTCAGGTTTGCTCTTTGTTCATGGCGTCCGGACAGAGAAAAAAAAGGGTCGAAATTTAGCTATTATGTCTCGTTTGATATATATTTTTTGTTTTTTCGTATACTTTTTCATCATTCGCCATTTCCTAGATGATACAACCAGAACAGAAGCGACCCAAACGAACCTGCGAGCAGAGAACTATAACACAGAAAAGCATGCGTTTAAATTCCTCGAGATTGTATTCATGTGTAAACTAATAATTTGTGCGGACATTGGGAATAAAATAACTTAGACTGACTACCTACTCTTTTGGACAGGGACTCAAACCGTAACCGTAACTAAAACCGAAAACCGTTTAGGAACGAAATTTTCTCAGTAACCATAACCGTAATGAAACCGTTATTTGAAATTTATGAAAACCGTAACCGTAAGTTATTTACCGGTAACCGATATTAACTGAAAAAAATAAAAATATCAGTTTTTTCTCAAGAACGACCTCGAGGAGGGATCTTGAAATAGCCATTTGACGGAGTTACCGTCAGCGAGTGGTGCATCTTGTAATAGATTTTCGGTCAATCTAAATTTAGGATTAAGAATACTTTGTTGGAATCAGGTCGAGCTTATAATGAAATTATCTATTTCTAAATCTGCCACTCTCCTACAATCGGTAGATGTATTCAGTACGTGTCGCCTTCAGGGTATTGATTAATAGATCAGAATTCTGAGATGTCTATCCAACTCGAATCTTTCAAAAACACCGATGTTTTTTTAACTGCAGTCGCTGCAGTATGAAGAAACGAGGTAAATTGACCATTTATAGGAGGGCTGCAGTTCTGCTCCTTCCTTCAACGTGGGCGAAGCCTCTTTTGCATATCTTAGGTTGCAACAACATATAGCTACGAGAAGGTGCGAATGGTTCTTCCAGCACCCAGTGGGAACTTTCTGAGGGTTATTTACAAACGCTGCTGAAAACCGAAGTAGCGATAATTATTTCTAATTTTATTATACAGAATACGATGATCCCCGAGTAGCGGGGTAACATGTATGCTTCGGTATTAAACTATATAATGCAAATAGATGTAATGAACAAGTGTTGGAGCTAGAAACGTGTATAACTTTTGACCAGTTAGAAGCACTAACACGTTTTTGAGTTCTTGGTATTGTGAATGTTCGGTAATTGGATATCTGGGACTACTTTAAACCGTTTATTATAAAGGGGCTGCCTGGCAATTCAGTATAACAAATTATTGGAGAAACCTAAAAAAACAACGGTTTTCAGGAACGTGTAATTGGTAACCGAAACCGTAAAAATTAAAACCGTAACAAACCGAAACGAAACCTATATAAACAGGAAACGGTAACCGTAACCGTGACCGAAACTTGTTTCGGTTTGAGTCCCTGTTTTGGGGGTGCTATGCGAGAGGGGATTCTGAAGGTTGCCCCAGCATCGTTTGCTTACGTTGCATTATGTTAGGGAAGCGTACGTCCGCCTCTGTCGAGAGTCACCGGGACATCACTTTGTATGAAGCGTCGCGACCGGTTCAAGGAGCAGCCTTGCACGCGACGTTCGAGCCACTGATGTTTGGGTGGCTTATAACGTAACGCAAGAAAGCGAAAGTAAACGCTCCTGTGTGATTGGGCCGTAAAGGGGTATTGAAACGAATTCAAACGCTCATTTTCTAACTGAAATGTGCTCTATGGTGCAGCATAACCTCAAAAACACCAGTTTTTCGTTGAAAGGCAAGAGAAAATTAAATTTAACGCTAATTAAACGATCTTCCAATGTGCACCTGGTGGATGCCTGTGAAGTTTGGTTGGGAGGTAGACCATTACCTAGCAAGAACCGTTACGTAGCCGTAATAAACATCGGAGCAGCGCCGCTCTTTGGAAGTACGCTCAACTGTTTAAAGCGGTCATGAAACGATTTTTCAACTTTTCTCTTCTCAACTCACAAATTGCGCATTGTACCAAACAGTTCAAGAAGACGGAAAGGAGGGACTCCTTTCTTGCTCGGACCCTCGATTGTGTATCCAGACACCGCCATTCTCCCCCTAGAAGATCAGCCCGTCGCTCAAAATTCGGACAAAAGTTGCTTTCCCCACTCTGTTCACCCCTGAGCTGACAGTGCTGTGGGCCCGCCACACTTTTGCCACGTGATAACGCTCCCTCACGTATACCCACGCGCCGAGAATGAGATAAGGTAATGAAAGGGAGGCGGCTGATTGGTCCGGCAAGCGCATAGCTTCCACCGCGCTATCGGCTATGGGGTGAAGGGAATAAGTGACGTCCGGTGTCTTGTGACGTGCCTTTGGGCCAGGTGACGCGCTTTGGGTACCGTGGACGTATCACAGTGAAAAGGACGAGATTTCAAAGGGAAGGAGGCACGAAATAGTCCGCTGTGGTTTCAAGTTTTCGTATCGAAAATCAGGTTTTTGACTTCCTACCTTCTTGGCCCACTAAACGATATGCTATTAGTAAAATCCCAATCTAAATTCATTTATCCCAGCCCGAATTTCGTTTCATGGCCCCTTTAAAGGGGCGGTGCAACGATATTCAGTTGGAATGTTTTTCTCTCTACACGAGCTTACTGGCACACCTGGGACTCAAGGATACTCACACGCAACGCCATTGGCCAAGAAACTCCTTTGTTGCGGTGTAATTTCAAGGACAAAAGCGATCATTTCCATTCAATCTCTCCTTTGCAAAATTTGATGACGTAACTCGGGGATCGCAGTACACCCAAGTGACGATATTTGAATGCGGTTCATAGATTGGACCCGAGCATTGCGTGGGCACTCGACTTGGGCTCGTGACAATTGCTAGCTCGAGAAGCATTCGGGTTGTGACCCGTGTCCAATCGCTGCAACGACGACAACAGCCGAGCCATAACAATGTCTGGAACTCAGCGCGTGTCCTCCGCTTTGCCAACCCCAGCGCGTGGCTATGATCAACACTGGCGGCATATAATCGGCTCCAGATCACATGGCCGCTTGTTCTGGCTGCGAGTTGAGGGGGTAAACGCTGCTCGTTTTTCTTTAATTTTTTTCTGGGACTTCTATTGCGTGGGGTGAAAAACGAACGCGTGTTTCATAGGTCATTAACATTAGGGATCCGTTTTAAGCGGTATTTGCGCAAAGTACAAAAATTGTTGCATTGCTCCTTTAAGTTGTGAGCGTACTTCCAAATCCCCTTTCCGAATTAAATACAGAGAGGGCGGTGTTGGTGTCCACATTCTCACTCGAGTCGTTCAAGTTCAAAGCGCGTGGGTATGCGCGAGAAAGCGTGATCACGTGGCAAAAATGTGGCGGGCCCAACGAGCACGTAGCTTCCACAGCACTGTCAGCTTAAGGGCGACCGGGGTCGGGGAAGCAATTTTTGTCCGAGTTCTGAGCGGGTGCTTCGAACGGCTCGGTTGTGACGCGTTGACGCCACCACAACGCCAGCAACGGCAAAGCTCATAACCACGCCAGCCTTGCTACGTCACGAATGCGGGGAATCTTTTTTTGTTTTTCGTTTGCGCCGGATATCCCATGACGCATCGCGCTCTCCGTTCGCTTCTCTTCGAGCGCTTGCTCGAGTGCACCGTTTGGAACGAAAAATATAGCCAGTCGTTCAATATACAAACGCGCGATTATGATTTGCGGTTATTATCCGTCATGCTTGACTCATTTCCGAACGAAATTTGTTTATATCAATTTTCGTTTCCGTACCCCTTTAAGTTATACGCACACAGTTGGCACAGTTTTAATCTGTCATTGTACCGCCCTACGCAAACAACAAAAACTTTTTTTTTTCACTACCACCCGGATACGGTGAGGTCAACGGTTGAAAGTGTGACGTTTCGGCGTCATGCAGCGTTTCTAGACCGATCCTTGATATTTCCTATTTTAGAGGAGATTTTTATCTTTTATTTGCAAGATATGAAACTGAACTTTATTGAACGCCCATATTCTGTTGTTGTAGGCATAACTAACTTGACGCAACGTAGGTGGCTTTTCTCTTTTTTTTTTTATGTTACAGGCGGTACTTTTTTTATGACACGCGTGAGAACGGTTGCTCCAGCATCGCGTTGGGTCGTTCAACGAGAGTTTGCGCCGCAGTCGAAGCCCGTCTGGCTCCAACTTTCACAGCAGCTTGTCGATGACCGAGTCGTGAGTTCGAACCCCGAGGAAGCGAGGAGGGTTTCAAGGGGAGCCCGAGAGAGAGGAAGTGAGTTGACGGAACCCAGCGAGGTTGCATCCACGAGCCCGGCAGTAAGGGAAGGAGCACCGAGGCGGCGCAATCGCGTTGTCGTCGTCGTCTTCTCTCGAAAGATCGGTGTCCTTGCGCTTTCGCGAGGCGCCCGAAATAGGGTCCTGACGTCGGGCCTCGACCCGCAGTCCACGTCGTCTCCGCGCTGCCGCGACGGAAAGGGGGACTCCGAGGGGGAGGGCTGGGAGACGCGGGGCAGAGGAGGTGCGCCGCCTGTAACCGCTGCGCAGGCTACTGCGCAATCGCCGCTTGCACGCAGCATGGGCGGTCAAAAGCAGTTGAGGTGCCTTTTTTTTTTTTTTTTTTTGCAAATAGTATTATTACTACTATTAATATTTCTGTGAAGTCCTTTCCAAAAGGCGGGTACTTCACCGCAATGCAGCTGTGTTGGGTACGGAAGTTGATTTCCAGGAAAGCAGTCTGTTTCATGCTATTTATTGCTCAGCGGAGCATGCTATTGTGCAACCGCTACGTGCGTGTAGGCCAGCGTGAACCAGTAGATTTTTGTATTATTATTATTATTATGATTATTATTGGTTTGAAGGTGTCCCCTTTGGAAAAGGCTGGTGCTCCACCGCAGTGCAGCTGCGTTGGGCGCGGAAGCTGACTGCCAGGGAAGCAGTCGACGTTGGATGCTGTTGCTCTGCTACGCATGCTAGTGTGCAATCGCCGCTTGCACGTAGGCCAGCCGGGGCCAATCTTTGTTGCGTTTTTTTTTAATATTAGATTTGTTATTTTGTTTTGAAGTTATTTCTTTTCGAAATCGGCTATTTCACTGCGGTGCAGCTCTGTTTGACACAGAAGTTGACTTCCAAAGATGTAGTCGACCTTGCACGCTATTGTGCAATCGCCGCTTGCACGCAGGCCAGCCGGGGCCAGTCGAGTCGCCAATTTTATTATTATTATTTTTATTATTTACACAAAGTTTTGTCATTTTGAAAAAGCAGATACTTCACCGCAGTACAGGTGTGTTTTGCACAGAAGTTGACATCTCGGGAATATAGCCGACATTGAACGCACTCGCTCATCTGTGCCTGCCATTGTGCAATCGCGGATTACACGGGGCCAGCTTCGGCCAGTCGAGCTGCAGTTGCTCTGTATTTTCTCTAAATTTTCCCTCTTTAATGGTAAGGTCTTTATGTTCTCTTTCAACTCGAGGGGGTTCCGCACCACAGTGTCTCTGCATGAGGCAGAAAAACACACAACCACATTTTCAGGGCGTTGGTGGACATTGTTCCCATGTACATTATCTGATTTGAGGGTTTTATATCAAAACGTACATAGCTGTTCTTGCTTGCTTTTTTGTTGGTAATAGGACATCAATAATATGGAATGCATGGATTCATTTTATCTGTAAGTCCCGAGGCATCTCAGTCGACCCATTGAAAGAAGCATGCCCCATGATAACGCTCTGTGTATCTTTGCACAGCAAATTTTTGGGGCGTGCACACTTTCTAATGTGAATAGCCATATGAATTCACTAATTCAATCAGGCACTTTGCTCTAGCAAATTAACATCTTCAGGTACAGTGCTAATCACACTTGTCTATAACGCGCTAGCGTGCGGCTTTCTCCGGGGAGCGCTAGACTGGTGGCATTCGCGGAAACTAAGCTAGTCACGTGGCGCAGCATGGAACGGCCCACTCGAGGCGTGTCCTGCCCACTCTGTCAGCTTGATAAGTGATAGAAGTGAAGTGCTTTATGATATATTTTTGTTTTTTGATGACGACATCGTTGATATGCCTTCATGCTTTAGTTTGTTTATTGTACGAGCAATGATGTTTGTAAAAAGCGTGTGAGCAGCCTTCTGCGTTCGCCGCCAGCTGGTAGAGTGGGCAGGACACCCCTCGAGCAGACTGTTCCATGTTGCGCCACGTGACTAGCTTAGTTTCCGCGACTGCCAACAGTCTAGCGTTCCCCAAAGAAAGCCGCACGCTCGTGCGTTATAGACATGTGTGATTAGCACTGTACCTTCATTGGCATTTCGAATCTGTCATGTATTACAAGGTAATAATTTTTAACGAAAAAAGAATTTAAAAAAATCGCAAAATGCTAGCTGAATGTTGTCTTCGCTAGGTGTTTCTTGTGTTCGGTAAACATTAGCAGAGGGAATAATCGTCATAATGAGTTGGCTAATTAACTAAAATGTGTTAATTAACTTTTAATTATTAGCTTTAGGGTCATGTTGCTATTGCAGAATTGATGGCAATTGCTATTAGAGACCAGATGAATTAAAATAATTTGCAAACGTTTATTAGTATTTGAGATATTAATTAATCATTTTTAAAGTTTTTTTAGCCTAATTTAAAAATTGCACGTAGAAAGCGCTTAAAAAACGCACCGTGAGCCCTGCCCACAATGACGCTTGGAAGAGTGATGTAGTCACTCATCTGAGCATTATTGTGGACAGGGCTTGCGGCGTGCTATTTACTCACAATTTTTAAATTGGACTAAAAAACATGAACTTTGATTAACTAACATCTCAAAAACAAACAAAAATTTCGCAAATTCTTTCAATTGGTTTGCTCTAATAGTAACTACTGACATTTCAGCAATTGTAACATGAACCATGAAATCATTAATTAAAAAGTTAATTAACAGGTTATAGTTAATTAGTCAAGTTACCAAGGCGATTATCCCCCAGCTAATATCTGCCGAACTCAAGAAGCACCTAGTGAAGATGGCATTTAGTGAGCAGTTTGCACTCTTTCTTAAAGATTGTTTTCATTAAAAAATATTGCCCTCTATATTCCTATTTTGAAAGCCTTTCTTGCAGCTCTCCTGCTCTTTAAAATAAAGGAGGCTGTTACAGCTTCTAGTAGTATGCAGACAAACTATGGACTGCCGTTGTCTAAATTTCTCAATTTGAAGTTCAAAAAGATTTGTTTAGCCCAGATTTTCAAAAATTCTGTCAAGGACCAAAATAAACCCTACCCTAAGAAATAATGTTTCTATGATTAAATATCCTGAAGTAGTCAATACTGTTAAAAATTAGTGAAAAAAAAATATATATATATTTATATATATATTGTTGTTTTTTTTTTGTCATTTCTTATTAGTCTTTTAGCCTGTGCAAGTAACCTAGTGAAAAGATGTGAATACACCTTCAGGTGACCCCATGCCATCACTGTAGCAGAGGAGGAATATTAGTTATGTGACACAAAAAATAATAGATTGCTGGGTCCTGTGTGGTTCTTGACTTTCTGCTGTCTGTCAGTGCTATTTTTACTATGTTGACCAGTAATTTACTTTAAAACCAGCCAGTGACTGTTCCTTTTGCAGGATTCCCCTTGTCTGTGAGGGCAGGCTACCCGACCCTCCTTCCTAGTCAGTTCACAGGGTGAGTACAATCTTCCCAGTAGCCTGGGCCAGGGCATGTTTCGAGTGTACCGCATTTCGTCAACCATTCCTCTGTTCACATAAAGTAACAGGTCAGTGTGAAGTGACAATGGTCCAGCGGCATGTACCTTCACTTGAACAAGAGAAGGAAGCGGCCACAAAACGCATCAACATTTTAGAATGGCAGCTTCCAGGGGCCCTTTTCAGGATGGTGTTTTCATGTCAGATTGTACAATGACTGTTAGGGTCATATTTTTTATATTTCTGTATTAAATATATGTGTGAAAGGCATGTTCCTGGGAGGAACATTCAGCTATATACGCCATAGCTAAATTTTTCCGAAATATATAAAAATGAGAAGCTCAAGGCAAGTACATTGCCGAGATTTCACTATGGTAATTCGCACAGCCACCAATGTCACGCCAAAGCAGGCACGCAGTTTGAAATTTTTTTATTTATTTTATAGACAGTTTACATAATACACACAAACTATTAAAAATTATAATTATATATTTCTATGCAAAAAAAAATTATGAAACCTGAAAAAGAAGCATGTTTTAGACACTTTCACAAATTATTTACCTACAAATAACTTTATGCAAAACGTTGCAAAATATATCAAAATGTGGATCTTGAAATGCAGCTTACGAATATATATATTAAAAAAATATTTGCTTAGCCATTATATTTTAGTTTTGTTATTAATGCAGAAACGTAAGCCATTTCTCTAAAAGCAGCGAAATTGCCCGTCAATATCTAAAAAAATACTCCCTCTTTTATTTCATTTAAAATCTCCTAACTCTTTGCAGTAACTTGAACTATCTTGTGATGGCAAAATATTAAGTGGCATATGGCCTGCAATTGAAAAAAAGGACCGCAAACCTTCACTCAAAATGAGCTAGCTTGTCTTCGTTACGGGGGCTTTGCCACACGACATCGGTTCCAAGGAGATGTCATCTAGAACCGACAAACTGTTTACGATGGTGCTGCTCTATTGCAGACCGTTGAAAGTCGTCATAGCTTAAAGGGGTAGTGCAACGATTTTAATGTTGGAAAGAATTGACAGTTTGCATTTTTTATATTGTTTATACAAGCCCAAGTGACCAAAACACGCGTCACCTTTCCCCGAAAAACTGCTATTCTGCTGCGTAATCGCAAAGCAAAAAACGAATTATTTGCCAATCTGCAGCCGCTTGCGGTGGTTAACGGGACTGATGTGTGACGTACTCTTGGGGATACGCGGAAGCAACAAAACCTGTCCCCCTCCGCTGCTACACTCGCCGTCAGCCCCGGGGCGAACCGTCTTTCGTGTCCATCGCTCGCCGCGACTTTCGACGATGCTGAACCTTTAAAAGTCAACAATTGAGGAGGAAGCGGCTGGCGTCTCTGCAGAGAGAAGCCAAGGGGAAACCACGTGATCCCCCAGAGTACTTCACTCGAAAGTCGACATGGAGAGTTAAGAGGCACTTTGACCTTCAGTTCGTTTCATTTTTTTTTTAAATAAAAACTAGCACTCGCAAGAAAATACGGTTTTCCGTTCTTCGTTCCATAGGCGACGCAGATTAATTTCCGCAGTTTATTGGCCAAAGTCCGAAAAATCGTTGCATCGCCTCTTTATACCAAGAGACTAGGAAGAATTAAAAAAACTGACAAAACAACACAAAATCTCAAGAATTGCTGAGTTTATTCGACCACACCTAAACAAGAAAAGATCAAGAAAACAGAACATAAGGTTGCGAAGATTTGACGAGACATGGCTTAACAGGCTAAATTCCTACAACATTAGACTCTCTTCCGACAACAAACATCGACTGCAAAGCACCCGCAAAGATAATCTCGCTTAAGACTACAGGAAGCGACCAACTTCCTAATCTCATCCTGTCACGTAACGATGTTTCCCAACCAGCACGTTTGCATGCGCTCACTTCTCAGAAAGTCATACTGTCCCGAGCTTTGCTTTATCTTTCTGTTTCCTTCTTTTCATTCTAGCCCAATTTTATTGTGGTGAAAGTAGGTAAAAAGTAAGACAAGCTATAATTGCCAGTTGTCATTATTGGTACCCCCTTGGCCACTAGTCATAAGTGCCACTCAATCCCGCAAGTCTGGCTCATGTTTCAGTTTCGTAGCTTGTTCTGTGCGCTCTTAAGCAGATTTTAGTGCTACCGTTATTGCTTTACCTCCTTGAAGTTATTCTGTCGTTTTTTTTTTATTATTTTCAAGAAAAGAAGGCACTGGTACTGCCCGAATGTTGGCTTGTTTTTTTTTTTTTTTCTGGGACAATGAAGTCCCAGGGAAAAAAAAAGTAAATATTCGAGCAGTACCAACTATGTTGTTGCTGTCTAATTAAGCGATCAGCTGCAGACATGACTGAAAGAGCCGCAACAGGTTATGTGTCAATTTTCTGCATATAAACCGAATTTGTTTATAGGTCATATAAGCGATGTGATGCCATTTTCCTTGGTAAATTTACCGGGAAACTGAACCGGTGTTGAGGTCACATGACATCAAGTCATGTGAGGTCATTTTTCCCGCTAAGTTTAGTGGGGAAACTGAATGGGTGTCAAGGTCATGTGACATCAATTTTCCTGCTAAATCTTTCGGGGAAGCTGAATTTCTTTATAGGTCAGATGACATCATGCAACGTCTATTTCCCCGCTAAATTTAGCGGGGAAAATGAATTTGTGTATAGGTCATATGACATCCAGGCATGTGTTATCATTTACCCGCTAAGTTTAGTGGGGAAAGTGAATTTGTGTATAGGTCATGTGACCTCCAGTCACGTGACTTCATTTTCCCTCTAAATTTAGCAAAAAAAACTCAATTGGTGTTGAGGTCACGTGATGTCAATTTTCTTTCAGACTTTAGCGGAGAAGCTGAATTTGTGTATATTTGACGTGACATCATTTTCCCCGCTAAATGTAGTGAGGAAACTGACTCTGTGCATACGTCACGGGACATGAAGTCATGTGACATCAATTTCGCCATCTGTTTCCCAGCTAAATTTACCAGGGAAACTGGATTGTTGTCGAGGTCATGGGACGTCAATCTTCCATTAAATTAAGCAGGGAAATTGAATTTCTATATAGGTCACATGACATCCAGTCATGTGACATAATTTTCCCTCCAAATTTAGTGTGGAAACTGAATTGGTGTGACGCCACGTGATGTCAATTTTTCCGCTGGCTCTAGCGGGGAAGCCTAATTTGTTGTAGGTCACGTGACATGAAGCCATGACGTCATTTTCCCCGCTAAATTTAGCGGGGAAAATAAACGGCCAGAAACTTACCTCAATTTGGCCTGAAGATCCTAAAAAAGCTAATCGCTTTAAAAACAATATGACATTTGCAGACATGGGGAAAGACGACATGACTTCAACATGGAAGGTTCGCCTTAGTTGATGAAGAAATACAGAAACTTTTATTTGAAAGTGATGAGTGCTCTGCCATTTCCGATGACAAGCCCACCACCTCTTTGCTTATTTGGAAACTATATTTAAAATTAACGATTTGCTCAAAAATTAAAGGAAACATTCACGTGACCTTTAGATGTAGTGTTTGTTGGTCAACACTTTTCTGAACGTTTGCAGCAGTACCACTCAGTGTAGAACTGCTGAAGGGACATAAGTAGGTGGCCAGAAATCAATAGTGGCAGCAACAAACAACATGAGGAGGCCAAGTGAATGTTTGCTTTAAAGAGAAACTGAAGCAGTTGCGTATTCGAGTAAAAACACTTAAATCATCTACATTTGGCCTCCAGAATCACAAATATCGAGATTATTTTTCAGTTTGGTGCACGGAAACTGCAGAAAAACATTTTTAAAGTACTGCCGAAGCCCGTTTTCCCAGAGCGTTACGTCATAAAAGGAGTTTTTGGAACCTCCGCTTTCGCGCATCTTCAGTGCCTATCAAAGCGATTCACACACATTCTCGTTATTTCCAGAAAGGTAAAAAAAAACGTCACGACTGGTGTCAGCGCGGGGGAATAAGTACCTGGCAACCTGGCAATTGCCTTTTATAATGTAACGACCGGTCGGAGGCTTTTGGTGTTTTTTCGCTATTAGTTACATCTTCAGGGAAAACGAATCTAATATTCAAATTCACAAGACAAAAATGCTCTATAATTGACCTTTAACTCGTTTTTGCCAAGAACCTTGTGGGATTTTGCTACCAACACAGGTACCGATAGAGTAACCAAAGGGTTGTCTCAACAGCGGCGATATATCAAAGGAGACGTCAAACCTAGTAGCGCGGTCCCCACATCTCTGCGGCAATGTAGACGACGTTTAGGGCCACATTACCGCGGGTCGGTTTGATTAATTACCTCCGTCGGTGCCAATGATCGTCTACCTTGTCTCACTCTCTCGAATATAGCGGAAGAGAAGACACACGTACCAGAGTAAGGACAGAGTCCAAGAGCATTTATTACGGTAGAACACTCTTAAAACGAACTGCAATGTCTCCATCCAAAATGCCCCACGTGCCGGCAAGGTAAGAAAATGTCCTTACCTGGCCAGACACGGGGTTCCGGAGAGCCAAGACCGGGGAAGCATCGGAGAAGTCGCCGACATACGTCCTATCTCTTTCGCGGTCACCCGTACGAGTCCCTTTCCCGAAAGCGGGAAAACAAGAGGCGAAACCTCCTCGCCTGTCGGCAGTGATTCGCATCCGAGCGGGGGGACGGAAAGAGGTCCCCCCGGGAGAGAGTGAGAGGAGAGCCCCCCAAGCCAGTTGGCCCTCCGCCTCACGAACAGGTTGGAGCTCACGGCGAAGAAGGCCGAGCGTGTTCCGACCCGCTGCCGTTATCGCAGCTATCGGGGAAGGGAGTCCAGAGGAATCCCCACAACCTCTTCAGCTTCCCTTTCATGTTTGTGTAAATTGCCAATTTACCCTAAAAATTTCTGGTATTTGTTATGGAAAACAAGTTAGTATATGCAATGGACTAAATGCTGACACACAGGTACTGACTTTGTCCAGGCAGAAACTCCTTCCAACGTCGTTCACTCCATTTCCACCCATGCCTTTCCCTCCTCCTGGCCCGAAATAAGCAGTTCTGGGGGAAAGGGTTTTCTGAACAAAATGTTAGGACTCAAACGAGCTGGTCATGCTTGAACATTATAGACTAAATCCCTGGAAAGAGCGAGGACACAACACAAAAGTCACAATGAGACTTCCGTGTTGTGGCTCATTGTCCTCTTTCTCCCTAGTCTCGGGGTTTTAGTCTATCAGTGTTTTCTAATTTTTTGAAAACGAAAGGAGAAATTGAGAAGTGATTTTCTGCTTGTTTGTCAGCCTTTAAGACCCTCTTCTTTGTAAATATCCTGGGATTTTCTAAAGGATGAGTAGAGAAATCCTCGAAAAGTCAGAGAACCTAGGGGCTTAACTCACCATTTTCTGAATTACAATTCAAGAGTATTTGGTTCTTCTTCCCTTGCTCTTGTCAGGAGGAGAGATAAGAAAATCTGTCTGTATGAACTGGAACACGGGCAGTGGCGTAGCCAAATGGAGGAAATTATGGTGCTTCAGCCCCACCACCCCCAAAACAGATTCCTTCCTATGCCAGTGCTCCCTAGTATGTGCACCCTTTTTTACAAGGTTTGGAAGCTTCTGCAGTGCTTCATTGCATCAGTGCAAAGAGTAGGAGGTGTTCCTTGGCTACAACCAAGATGGATGGGTATTCCTCGGTATTTCTTGAGATCAAAGAGTTTGAGAGTTTTTGAACTGGGGTGCACAAAATAAACCACAATGAGCACAGGTGCAGAATGCAGTATTTGGGACGCTCAACCTAGGTTACTTTGGCTCAATAGAGCCAACGGTATCTAACTTTTTTTGTCCGAAGTTCGGTGGCGACATTTTCTACCAGATTTTTTCTCTGGAAACTGAAATTAAAACAGTGCTGGATTTCACCCTCCATCTTGTCCAAGCTTCTACACACAGACTTACCTTCGGTACCTGAGTGGAGCCTTCACCTTGACCGCAGGATGCACCAGCAGTACGTCTACCCGTCAGCCTACCTGCCATCGCCCAGCTTGATCCTGCCCCAACACCCTCCGCTCTCTCCGGCGGCTGCGGCAGCCGCTGCCGCCGCCGCCTTCTACGACTACGTGCCGCCGTCTTTCACCCCGGGTGGCGCTGCTGCCGCCGCTGCCGCCCTGGACCTGGGCTACCCCTTCTCGCCGAACCAGTCCAATGCCCTGGCAGCTGCTGCTGCGCATGCTGCAGCCAGCTACCTGGCCCCGCCCCCGCACCACCCGGCCAGCGCCGCCGCCGCTGCGTACTACACGCTACCGCAGCCGCTGGGCGCGGTCACAAGCGCTGCGGGCTCGCTTGCCTCTACGTCCCCCTATGCAGCTCAGGTGCAAGACGCGAGGCTACAATAGCGGCGGGGTGGTGGCCTCTTTTGTCGCCGCTCCGCCACAGTAGGAGTCGCCTTCTCCGTCGTTTCGAGAGAGCACGTGGACGGCGCGGTTTTGGTTGGGGTGGGACCGACGTTGCTTTTTGCGGTCTTTGAGACGTTAGCCAAAGTTTCTTCGCACCTGACTCGAGCTTAGAGATGCCCCACTGAGCTCGATAAGGTTCCTTGTTTGCGCGCCGGTTGGGTGGCGTTGCGATGGCGGCTGTGCCGGTGCACATAAGAGCCCATCTCGAAGACTGCAGGAGGCCATCGAAGGTTTCCACCGAGCCGCTTCCAAAAGGGAGAAGAGACGACGGAAGAGAATGGAGCTGTCGGCAGCGGGGGAGACAGAGAGGGTCCGGAGGAAGGGAAGGTTGCTGGAATGGGAGGCCCGTCGTTTTTGTAGAGCGTTGCGCCGCTCTCTCCAGCACAGCCCTTTCCTCAGGGTTCCGGCACCCCCTGTTGTGCCCTTTAGTCACTAGCACACATACACGTGGAACCGGTGTTGCCTGGAATGCGAGGGGAGGTCCTTAGCCGCCCGTGCCAGCTGTGTATCTACTTTGGCTCCTTGTTTCATGGTCGTCTGCTGATAGTCCTGTCCTGGGTCCCCCCCCCACTGCTGCCTTTGGGGTTGTACGGGCAACTCTGTTTCTCGTGTTCCAGGTAATACCCATTGTAACGCCACACACCATACACAAACACACACAAAAACGAGAATCACTTTCCGTAAAAAAAATTGATATAAAAAAAAAGGAAAAACAAAGCTCATTAACATTTTTGCATTAGCACCTGTATTTGGAGACCTCTGCATCTGGCGCTCCAGTGAATCATCCTTTGGAAATTGTGGCCTCTTGCTAACAGTTTTCTACAAGCCGAGCTATGAGTGAAGCCATGGCTGGTCCCCCATGCCATTCAGACTTTTGGCGTTGAGACTGTGGATGGAGTTTGTGAACATTATTTTTGATGGCGCATTGACAGAAAATCACTTGTACCCACATCGCCAGCGCTCGATCAAAGCCAATGTGCTCTTATGGGAGGAGGGTGAATAGATTGTGACCTCTCGAGACCACAAGTGCCACAACAGCTGGTGCCTGACGAAATCACATAACTCGACACTTTCCAGTTGGGTGCAACAGCTGGGAAGCTATTGCAGTATCCAGGGGTTCATTTCACTGGGCAGCCAGTTGTCAGACCGTCTATGCACAGTCATTGTTCCTACATGTTTATCTCTCCTTATGTGTAACAGTGCCTTGTCCTATGATAAAAAGAAAAAAGAAAAAGAAAAAAAAAAGTTTGTTTTGAGAGCTCATGCCAAGGTGATATGAGTGCCCATGTTAACACAAAATATTTAAGCGACTCGTTACTGTAAAACACCTCATTGTGATAATGAATGCTCCCTCCATATGTCGCATCTACTTGGTCCCGCATTTGCCTTTGCATCGTTGCATCTTGGGACACTCATTGAATAAGTGCCGTTGAACTTGGTACTTACGCTCCCTCTTTTTTTTTAATTTACTTCGCCAGCGCTTTTACGTTTTACGACAGATCAATCACATTCAGATTGCTTAACGCTCCCCGTTGACAGAAGCAGACCAAGTGCAGAGGGACTGGTGAACGTATTGAGGAAGAAAAACAAATTCCACTGGGCCAACGAAGTTTGCCTGGCCGTGCGTAAGAAGAAAGAGTTTTATGCGGAACGTGTTACTTGCTTGTTAGCGTTATTCCTTCACACTCATACGCAAGCATACAGGGTTTACGAGGAAGAGGACAAAGGAAAAAAAAAGCGTTGCCACCAGTTGCCATACCTTCTCATGAAAGCGGATCTCACCCGTGTTTATCGGATTCTCATCGTTTCTTAGTCATTGTGTCTTTTTTATTTATGTATTTATTTTTTATTTATGTCCGCACCCTAACAATCGCCTTAGCTCTGAGCAGCAGCGGCTGCGGGTCTGTTGTTGGGTACGGTTGCACGTGAGAACAAAGATCGGCGCTGGCTCCGGTGCCTCGTTGTAAAAAGAAGTTCTTGGTTGTGCGAGGACTCAATCGTGCCTTTGCAACGGCTCACAAGAGAAGCAGACTCACTGCGATTGGGCGGGCTTAGTCATTACTGGTCCACTTAATTATCAAAATGTATACATATGCTATAATTCTAAAAGAAAACACATTATTAGAGCCCTTTTTTGTATTCTTGCATTACCCGTAGTAACTGTCACACACGCGCGCTCATCATGTGTCATATTACATAGCAGTCAGGTCGAAGACATCCAGATTTGTTCGCTGTGAGGTGAAAAACCGTCCACGACTCCAGATTTTATTTTTTGGCTGTTTTTTTTTATTTCTTTCTTCTTAACGAGCAAGTTTGTTGGTGCATTTGCGAGACATCTAACTGAAGTTGACAGGCCTTTGAAAAGGAACACCGTTTTTCTCAAAATGCTGCATTGTGCCTTAAGACTTTGAACCTGGTCGACAATCATTTTAATCTGCCAGGGCCATCGTAAAAGGCCCCATTTCCACCAACCAACTCACAGTTTAGGCGAAGATTTTGCACGAAACAGCCAAAATACTACTCTCACAAAAAATTAACTAAAATAAAGATAAAATTTGACAAACTTATTATTACCATCCATGTAGCAGAGATGCTAGATTAGCCTATGTATTAAAATCTGAATGACCTGAAATTTCTAGTCAGTGGCAAAGCTAAGTTAAGACGTTTGTGACTGTTCGCTCTTGTTTGTGGACAAGATGTGCCAACCTCAGCTGCATTTGTGCAAGAAAGGGTTAATGAACAAATGTATGCTTAACCTTTTGGATGATTGGCGAGAAGAAATCTGTAGAATCTTTGGTTTGCGATTAGTTGATGATACTACCGTGAAGGGGGAATGAACCTTGAGGGAAAGGACTGTTGGAGGCACCACATTAAACTAAAAAAAAGGAAGCGTTCGGTTCTTGCCGTGCTTGAGTTCCTACGAGCAGAGCGCCCAAGGTGAGATGACATCAAGCAAGACTAATCAGCAAGGTCTGTCAGCACTCTATCTATGTCGCTTGGTGCTCCAGGGAGAGTGTGCTGGCTTAATGTCATTGAAATCTTTGGTGGCCATATTTCCTTTTTGTCATTATTTCTCTAGAGAAGCGCACCAAAGTCCAGTAGCACGACACACATATACATATATGCACATTGTCCACTCGCCACAAGTTAAAGTACTTAGTCAGTGTTGACAATGCATAGATCTGAATGTTCTTGTCTGGGTTGTCGTAAGGGACGCCGATGCAATTCGCGGTCTCGCGTGGCGGGCTTGTGGAGCAATAGGAGGTCCTGCCTTGTTCTCTCTGATGTTCTCAATCGACCTGATTGTGATATGTACTCGGAAGAAGTTTCATAACAATAAACTTGTATTCTTACACTTGGTTACTTGTGATTTGTGTTTGTTTCTTTGGACAAGTTTTGTCTATGTGAGGACTGTCTCAGTACGTAAGTACTCTCTAGCTTGTATTTGTTTAGTGGGTGATGTAAACATGACATCATGAAGACTAGTTTTGAGCCATATGGATTGCATAATATTCATTGTTTGAAACTCAAGCAGTGAATGTTCAAGGCCTCGGAGATGGCTACTTCAACCGTTTACTGCACAGACTAAATTTCTCATATACAGCATGAATTTCTCATCTACAACCGTACTAAAGTCTACGGAAATGCTCGTGGACATGCTCACTCGTGCCGTGAGTGCATGCAAAGATCTAAGCAATGCCATATTGTTTTTGTGCATTTTTTTCCCTCAATAATATGGAATGTTTAGCGAGTATATATGGGCTAGACCAAGCAGGCACCCACCCAATCATGCTGTCCTAGCAAGACTGCAAGAGTTACGTGCATCTGTGGGGAATCACAGGCTGGAGCGTGCCCCTCAATACACAAGTGGTAGAGTTATTGCAGCAGAAATCTGCAGCACCTGGAGCAAAAATACAATTGTGCATAGAGTTTAAATCTCCTATGGCTCTGGCAGTGCAGTCAACAGGTTAGTTGCCCTGCTGCACCAGCTGTGTCGGTCCTCTACAGCAAATGAGTTGGGACTCCATTTTGTGGCATTGCAGGGAAGCTGTGCCTCCAGCACACATTGCCTTTTGACTTGTTTGGCTGCACAGTCACTGGAGTGTTACGGAAGGGAGAAAGCCAAAAGAGGTGGAGTTTCTGCTGCAAATTTTTTGTAGTAATAGACAAATGCTAATAGACTAGCTCAGTTATGGAACTGCCCTTAGACAGTGCTTGCACTAAAGAGTACCCCCCCCCCCCCCTCCTCTCCCCCTATGGCTCGTCTTCGGTCGTCTGATGCGCCGCGGTTGCTGGGGGATGGCTGCTGTGGTAAGTGCAGTGTATTCATATAGAATACATACATTTCAAAACACAGCATCTAGATGGCATTCCACTGTACTCTATGGCTCTATGAAACAGTTGTAGAATGAAAATCTATATGGCACTTCAAATGACAGAAGTGTAAACGCCCGTGATAAATTCATTGTTGTGAAACATGCAAGACTCGTGCCACGAGCAGGTGCTCCACTGTCATTAGCTTCCAATGGCTAATGACAGTGGAGCAAATGAAAGCAAATGTCATTAGCTTCAGTGCTGTTCCGCCATTTGCTTCCAAGGGCCGCTCGAAACACAGGCCTCGTGCACTGATGCATTTGACGCTACTTGCGAGAAACTCAAACAAGTTGAGGGGCTTTACGGAAGTGAGGGGGGTCTGACACCAATACAAGCAAATTCGCTTATTGTGTTAAATGAACAATGTTGCTGCCTCGTAGCAAAAGGTCCGTCTTTTTATCAGTAAGCAACAGCTGGGTGCATTACAAAATTCATGAATTCTCTCGTTCCCTCCACATTGACCGATGCTCATTCTCTGTAGAAAGTTCAATGACAGCGAACAACAAAATGGAGGATTGATTTATTGTCTTACTGTGGAACCTATTAAATGTGATAAGGAAAAATTAAACAGTTAATGTATCTCTTAATGCGATAGCATTCTTTAGCTACCCCCCCCCCCCCCCCCCCTCCTTACACTTCGACTTCTTGGACTTTCTGGCCTCCTAACGCGCAGTAGGTACGCGCGGTAGACCATTTCAGCTTGCATTCTCATACTCCCTCACATTCGCACCTTTTTTAAAGGACCTGACGACCTCGACATCGTTCTAGAGGTTGTCCTAGACGTTGTCCTACAGGTCATCCTCCAGATCGCCCTAGAGGTCGTCCTAGACGTCGTCTTTGAGGTTGTCCTTAAAGAGATGCTACAACGAAATTTGCCGCTTGTTTTTTGGCCTATACGTGTTCAAAAGAGCAGTATCATATTGGACACAGCAATATCTTGTTAAAGAAGACACAAAAAGGAATTTTAAAACTAATTAAACGATTAGCAAAGAGCACCTGGTGGATGTTGCTAAAGCCTCGTTTGTAATGTCCGACTAGGAACCTTGACAGGTCTTGACGATAAGCGTCTTGCCTAAAACTATAATGCTTTGAACCTGACATCATCTTGACAGCTCTACGGCCAGCAAAAGAGGGGAGGGAGGAACTCCCTACTCAATGGGACACTCTCTTCGTGTGTCCCAGACGGCGCTACTCTCCCTCTACGAGATTATAGAAGATTAACCCGTCGCTCAAAATTCACACCAAAGCAGCTTTGCAGTTAGTTGCGGTGGCCCGATCACTGGCGCGCTCCAACTGCTTCGGTGGCTGGAATGGCTAGGGCATCCTGATGACATCAGCCTTGCCGCAGCTTTGCTCATCCTGGGACAAACTACGTCACGATTGCGCCGGATGTGACGTGCTCTTCGCTGGCTTCTACCCAAGCGCTTGCCAGAGTGGGCCGTAAAATGCAGCCATCAGGCTCAAAATACAAATGTGCGATTGTCATTTACCGATAATATGGATCGTATTTAGCCTACTTCTGAACCACTTATATTTCAAATTTCGTTGAACTATCCCTTTAAGATTTCCCTAGAGGTCGTTCTAGACGTCGTTCTAGTAAGCCCCTCAATGTGTTTGCATTTGTCCTTCAAGTCCCGTCAAATGCGCCAGTGCACGAGGCCCGTGTCTCGAGCGGCCCTTGAAAGCAAGTGGCAGCGAAGCACCCGCTTGTGGCACGTGTTTTGCACTTTTCCACAACAATGGTTAGCGGTACTTGTAAAAAACACCTTTATCGAAAAACCTTACGTCCTAGAGGTCATCCTTGAGATCACCCTAGAGCTCGCTCTAGAGTCACTAAATGTTCCCAAAGTACCAAAACTCCTAAGCTTCGCTTCTGAATCAAGTCGCGGCGCAGCAGTTGCGATCCCCAACATGGCACTGCCATGTGCAATCGAAGCGAAGTGCATACAGTGTAGCGTTTGTTCTTGTGTGAGCTCTTCAATATACATTCTTGGCCTGTGGCGACACTGGTTTGTTTATTAAAGTTTTTTCCTTCCCTCCGAGCTGTGCGTGACTTGCTTCTCGCTGTCTCGCCTTTCTCACCTCGAAGCACATCGAAATCGAGTGTTAGGCTTAGCGTCTGACGCATAGAGTTTGAAACGCAGCACCAGTGCAACCGGAGCGAGCAAACGAGCCGGCAATCTTCTTTCGAGAGTCAGATTACTGGCTACCTGATATTAAAAAAAAAAACCGGAGAATTCGATGCATCTTCTGTTCGGTCCGAACTCGTCGATGCCCAGGGCACACCCAGAGACTCCACACGTGTGTACCCGCTGTAGCTGTAACGCGGAAATGTTTTGTATATATTTTTTGTTGTTTTGGGCCTATCTCCAAAATGGCCGACTGATAACTTCCGTCACGGGCTAAACCAGCCAATTAGAACTGAATTCTGAGGGGATTGACTTCTGGTCCAGTGGCTCTAGGTCATCCTAGAGTCACTGAATCTTTTCAGCGTTCCCAGAACACCAAATTCCATTCGGTCCGCTCACCGGAAGTCAATCCCGCAGAATCCAGCTCCGATTGGCTGGTTTAGCCCGTGGCGGAAATTACTCTGCCATTACGTGGATCGGGCCAAAACAGCAAAAACCGTATACATGTTAGCAAGTACGGCCTCAGGGCGCCGCCATCTTGCTCGCTTGGGGTGCGCTTGGGCGTGTACATAATCTGATTTCGACGCCTTCGCAAGGCGTTGTAATCGGATTATGGCCGCGTCCAAGCGCAACCCAGGAGAGCAAGATGGCGGCACCCGAAGGCCGTACTTGCAAACCTATATATAAAATGTTTTCGCATTACCACGGCCATGGTGGGTATGCACAGGTGGGACTTCCGGGCATCGATGAAGTTGGACTGAACGGAAGCCGTGTTGATTTTATAGAGATTTTTTTATATGAAGTAGCCTGTAATCTGGTTCATTAAAGAAGATTGTCGGCTCGTTTGCTTTCTCCGGTTGCACTCGTGCTGCATTTCAAACTCTATGCTTCAGACACTAAGCCTAACACTCAACTTCAATATGTTTTAAGGTGAGAGAGAGACGATACAACGAGGAACAAGTCGCGCACCGCTCGGAACGAAGAAAAGAACTTTAATAAAAACAATCCAGTGTCGCCAAGGGCCAAGAACTTGGATTGAAGAGCTCGCACAGTGACACGAGAACGAACGCTATGCTGTACGCGCTTCACTTCGACCGCACGGGCAGTGCCATATTGGGGATCGCGACCGCTGCACCGTGACTCGGTTCTGAAATGAAGCTTGGAAGTTTCAATACTCTGGGAACAGTCCTAGATCACTGATCTCTATGAAAATTGCTGGATTGCGCTTCCTGCTCCCGCGAGTGGAGCCACAGGACGGCTATCTTGCTCGTGGCGAAATCGCGTTTTTGCTAGCGTTGCAGAGGCTGGCGGCAGCGTGCTGAAGACATGCTTTCTAATCCCTCGTCGTCATTTGCCGAAAAATTTTTTTAAGACCCTGTGTAAGCGTTGAGACTTGCCGTTAAGAACACGTGAAAATTTTTATGAAAGCACAGTCCCGCAGGAAACAAACACAACTCGTCGAAAGGAAGTTTTGCCAGTCTCGTGACGTGTTCAAAGCTTCCTTGGCATGCCAAAGCGCTGTGTCTCTGCCTTCACACGCTTAGATACCGATCAAGAATTGACTCTGTGGCAAAGTTTTGAAGGTGTGCCGCGCGTAAATGTCTTTGCATCATATATTGGCCACGGAGTTCTAGATCGTGAAGCTGTTCCGGCGAGTTGCTATCAATAAAGGGGGGGAAACAATCTGTACTGTTGCTCTCGTGCACTATTAACCATGGCCCTGTTCCAAATCTACTGTAATAGATCACATGGCAGCACAAATAGCTCAACGCTGTGGAGCAAAGTACAAGATTGCAAGATTGAAAATCTTTGAAGCGCAGCCCATATGGTCGTGTGCAATCAGTTGACAAATCACAA